CTCCCCCTCTTCTTTTTTTGAGACAGGGTCTCTGCTTTGTCACTCAGGCTGGAATGTAGTGCACAATCTTGGCTTACTTAACCTCGAACTTCTGGGCTCAGGTGATCCTCACACCTCAGCCCCCCAAGTAGCTGGAACTTGTAGGCACGTGTCACCATGCCCAGTATCCCCAGATTCTAAGAAGAGGCTTTGGCTGGCCTGTATCAGTAGACTGGCAGATGAGTGCACATTTACATACACCTTTACAGGTGCATGTGTTTCGAAGTTCCTTTTATATGGATTCCTGGTTTAACCACATTTTTCATTTAGCTTATCAACAGTCCAGATCACACAGGTGCAGAAGGAACTAGGTCTCTGCTGAAATTCTGGCCAGTCCAGGTGTGTATGTGCATGCTCAAGGGAGGGAGCGTGCAAGCATGAATGAGAACGTACATGTGTGAGCACACATTGGGAGCCCCTGTGGCAGCTACGTGCATTTTCAGTGTGTGGGAGAGGTGTGCTTGGCTGCAGCAGTGCTGACAGCAGTCAGCAGAGCTCTGTAGCTTCGTGTGCCTGGACTGTGTGCCCATCTCTGGGTGCTGGGCTATGCCTGATTTGTGACCTCTGGCTCCTGGGGTCTAGCTCTAGTTCTGCTCGAGTGGGGTCACATTGCGGCTACTGCAGTCAGTCCAGGTTTTGGAATCCTGGTCCTGCTACTTACTGGCTGTGTGATGTTGAGTAGTGCTTTAACTTCTCTGAGCTTTATTTTCTCCATTAATAAATTGTGTGTATGTCTGTGTGTGTGTGTGTATGTGTGTGTGTGTGTGTAAAGTAAGCCTCTCCCTCTCTGCATGGGTCGAAATGTCAAGGTTATGAATAAAAACTGCCTAGCATAGTGTCATTGTAAGTGCTCAGTAAATGGTGTCTACACAACCCAGGCCTGCTGGCATTGCTACCACTGTTGTTACCCGGACTCTTTTGAGCCAGTAGATGAAGTGGGTCTCCACTTCCTTCAGTCGGGTGGACAGGGTGCCTTTCTTAAGGCAGGTGCGAGGGCTGAGCTAGCCGG